CGGTCGAAGAGGAGGGTCTTGAGGTGGGTCTTGAAGCTGGTGAGGGAGGGGGCGAGACGGAAGGACTGCGGGATGCCTCCCATACTATATGAACAATTAGTATGAGGGTCCTTATCCCACATGAATTGAGTTTCCAAAGTGTGCTGTGGGTAGGCATTAGCCTTTTTCTAAGATGGATTTGAAGTTCAAAAATCATGCAAAACCCAGTACTCATCTCAAAAGTTGTTCACAAGATCAGTTTGGATGAAGAAGGCCCTTCGGCCCATATGATCTCATCCTTCCAGAATACCTGCCCTTGTAACAATATTCCATGTGTTTTTAAAACGCAAACAGTGTCCTGGTCTCAACCGCCCTTCCTGACAACCTATTTCAGTCAGTAATTACCCTTCAGGTAAAGAAACAAGACTGTAATGAAATTGCCCTTTGCAACTCTAAACCCCCCCTTCCCTCCACCTCAGTCACATTGCCCAACTTCGACTGTATCTTGCCCCGAATACACTTGCTCTTAACACTGGAAGTTGACATGCCACCTCGCATATCATACAAACAATTAGTAAGCAGGAAAAGGCAACCACTGATCTCTTCACAGCGCTATGGAGCCGGGTAACGGAGCTCTCCCTCGGTGCAACACAATGCAAACGGAATGAAACATAACCCTGATCAAATGCAGTATTTGGACAGGACAATGCCTCACTTCAAATAGAACGGGAAACAAAAAGTTAAGTCTTCTGACCTACCGGGAGTTTACAAAGCAGACAATGGCAGATGTCACACTGCTGCACCGCATACAATGGGGATTGTCAATCAGGAGGCCAGGAGAAACTCCCTTTTCCTATTTAAATGGCATTCACCTGAATTGGCCTTGGTTTAATGTCTCTCGCAAAGGATGGCACCTGCAGCTCAAGTCATGGGACTAAAACCCACATAGTTCTGACTCTTCTGAGGCAAGAGGCCTACCAAATGAGCCGGGATAATCTACTTCTGCAGACAACGACGCTAAAGATTCAATAACGCTCTGCAGCATTTAAGGCATTGGATTGACGAAAATCTCAATGCAATGCTCATACTATTAATACAAGAGATAAACTATGTTAGTGGCTGTCTCTACCAACGTTGGTGGCAGCCCTTAATATGGTCGAGACGCAGCAAAGTAGAAGTTACTATCCTCCAGTAAGGTCACCGAGACTATTTTGTGAGCAACAATACTTCAACGAAAACAAGTCAACAAAAATGATTTCTGAGATTACATTTTGGAGTTCAACATCATGTTACAATTACTGAAGTCGCGTCTGGGGAAGGTTAATTAATTAAAAATAAATCCAGAGGCAATCATGCGAACGGAATCTCGGTTCAGACAATCATGCAGTGAACCAAGCAGATTGCTGTGGGAAGCTTTGCTGTATGGGCACATCTGTCAACCGCACAGAATAATAATAATAATCCTTGCATTTGATATAGCGCTTTTCAGGAAAGAACCTCAATTGTCATCTACGGCGTGAAACCATTCAAAACTTCAACTCATGACACGGATGTCCCAAGCACCTTGGGACATCCTCCCGACGTGAAAGGCGCTTACGCAAACGACCTTGTTGTTGCTGAATGGAACAATATCCTTGAGACAGTCCCGGTTTTGTCAGATTCAGAACACAATGGGAAGGTCACCTTAATTCTAGCGATTGTAAGAACACCTGAACTTGTGCATTGTGTTGGAGGTGACTGCTCAGTGACCTCAGCCACGCATCACTGGAGAAGAGAAATATCTTGAAACCATTTGATTGTGCGGCATGTTATCCTCCAGATATGCGACACATTAGCCTCCAGGAATGTGTTGGCCTCCCCTGGCAAATTCTACTTGTTAAGCTCAGTAACTTAACAAGTGCAGTCGTCAGTAAGGTTCAGCATCGTTGAGGATTTGTTGTTCCAAGTGCCACCTAGAGGTCAGCAGATGTTGGAAAGTGCCTCCCATGTCGATAGGGGGCTTCGGGGGGGGGGGGGGGAGTGATGGGTGGGGAGTGGGGGGGGGGGGGTGTCCTTGAAATTCCAGCAGTTGTAGATAAGCTAAAAGTTCTGGATTCCGCACACGCTTTGAAGTGGACCATCGCCCTCGGGGAGGGAACGGCGGGTCGAGTTTTGAAAAAAAATACATTAGTGCAGACTTCCAGCAATGCTGGTGTTTTTTTTTAAACAAACATCATCTTAAAATTAGAGCGAGGCCATTTAGGAGTGACGCAGTTTTTCACCCAAACGGCAGTGGAAATCTGGAACTCTCTCCCTACCCCAAAAAGCCTATAAATGCTGCATCCATTCACATCTTCAAGACTGAGGTGGATAGATATTTGTTGGGTCCAGGGTACAACAACAACAACATTACATTTGTGTAGCGCCTTTCATGTCGGGAGGACGTCCCAAGGCGCTGGACAGTGACAGCATTTCAGACCCGAGCTGGGGTTGGGAGGGGAGGGGAAGGGGGTGGCCGATGGCACGGTTGAAGAGGAGGGTCTTGAGGCGGGACTTGAAGGAGGATAAGGAGGGAGTGAGGTGGAGTGATTGGGGGATGGATTTCCAGAGGTTGGGGGCAGAGTGGCTGAAGGCCACGGAGGGCTTTGTAGGTGAGGACCAGGATCTTCAACTGGATCCTCTGAAGGATAGGGAGCCGGTGGAGTCGGGCGAGAATGGGGGAGATGGGGTCACGGAGTTTGGTGCGGGAGAGGACCCGGGCTGCAGAGTTCTGGATTATCTGCAGCCTGCGGAGGGAGGAGTTGGGAAGGCCGACAAGCAGAGCGTTTGCATAGCCGTTTGCATTATCAAGGGATAAGGGGCAAAGGCGGGTAATTGGAGTTGAGGTACAGCTCAGACATGAATTTATAGAATGGCGGAACAGGCTCGGGGGGCTGAATGGCCTCCTCCTGTTTCTATGTTTCTACTCTGTTGATAATATAAAATGCTTGAAATCACCAAGTTCAGACATACCACTAATTCTCCCCAAAGATATGCAAATCAGACTAATTTGCCAATCAACACGCAAAAGCTCTAATCCGCACACAGCCGCAGGAATCAGTCTTTGCATTGCATAACTTCCTGTGGCTCCACAGTGCGAGAGGAAAACTCCAGCGATACAATTACGCCTAATTTCTACAAGATATTGTTTTTGTTGTTGCATTATATTAACTAAACCAGGAAACCTGTAAAGATACTTCAAGTCAGACCATTCCGATTTAATCTGTGAAGCCCGAGGAATACAGCAATCGTAATACTTTTCATTCACCCGTTCAAATTCTCTGGCTTCAGAGCACGATTTCAGTGCAGGTGTCCTTGCGCACAGCTTTTTGTCAATGTTCTATATATAAACTCAGAATCATTCAGCATTCCTGGGATAAATAAGAGCAGTGTCGAGCCCCTCAGTGATTCATCTGTTCAAGTCCTGGCCTCGAAAAACAACACAACCCCCAGAATCATGTCGGTGACCGGAGCAGAATCTTTCTTTTAATAAAAACAACAATCCTTGCATTTGATTCAGCTCCTTATCACGTCGTCGAGACGTCTCAAAGTGCTTCACGGAATATACTGTAAAGTGGATGGACTGCGTGTTTTGTGGGCGAAACGCGGCAGCTAATTGCGCACAGCGGCGTCTCCCACAATCAGTCGTGGATTGGCCCTGGGGTGGCTTGCGTTTCTGGCCGAGGTAAAGGACGCAAATGACTGGGGAAAGGTGGTGTCCGGCGTCTCCGCAATGTGCTCTGTGCTGACATCCGAGGCATCAAAAACCTGCCACCCAAGATGGGGTCAAGCAGAACTCTGCCTGGTCTACGAGCAGACCCACGGGGGGACTGAAGAATGGGATCAAGGATTTCGGTCACCTACACTGAGCAAGCCAAAGGCAAGGCTGTCAAAGTTCCATGAGTACGTGTGGCACGTTTGTCTGGTTTTGATCCTTCAGCACAGGCAAATGGTTTGTGTGTGTCAGCCGCCCAGTTGATTAAAATATATATTGGATGTTCTATACATTATTTTATAGATTTCAAAGTACAATTGGGAGGCCTCCTCCTTTCTTCCCAGCTGTGAGGAATTGGCCCAAGCATCATTACTGAGAAATAAGATGGTGGGTGGAGCAGCCCTGACCTCTGAAGAGTTATCAGTTTACAATGCATCTCTGCCTGACAGAACAGGACACTACCAGAAGAGAAGATCAATAGAACCATCTTTAGACCAGACAATTCTTCCTGCCTTAATCTTCCATTAGCATCTCTTCATCACCTGGAAATGAGCCATGTGCAGAGGAAGACAAAAGCTGCAATGTAAATTTAGCCACAATAATTACCGAGTTTATAGCGATCAGGTTAGAAGCCAATGCAGTCATTGCACGATTTACCAATTAGAAAAGATTTCTATTTAATTGAGGTGCATCTTTAAGCGACATTGATGTTTAACTGAACGACGCATGTTGTAAATATCTAGTCTGGCATTTAAATGTGAGCGCTGTAACTCAATACGATGCAATACTTCTGGCAGATTATGGATTGCGAAATAATCTTAGTAGGCAGAGATTAAATTTATTTTGCTGAATTGTATCGCTGCCACGAGTTAATACAGTCCTCATCCTTAGACTGCAGCTGCTTTCTGTAGGCAAACATGGCAGTCAATTTGCACCCGTATAATAATGTATAATATATCAACACTAACTGGTGATGTTGCCTCTGTACAACTGTCTTACCGAGCAACAATAAATTGCATTGTTTAGTGCCTTTTACATCAAGGCGCTGGACAGTCAAGGGTTTGCACCTGAGCTGAAGCTGGGATTCGGTAGGTGACGGTGCGTGCGTGTGTGTGTATGTTTGTGTGTGAAAGATGACCAAAGTGTGGCCAAAAAGAAGGCTTTGAGATGGACCTCGAAACAAACACAAATCTTCTGAATAGCTCATTACAATTGTTAACCAACAATATTCAAAGCGCCATCTAGAATCTCACTCCGGATCAGACTGACATAATCCAAAATCACTCACCCAACCCTCTCTGCAGCGCTGTCGGACCTGAAATTGAAACGAGAAATATTTTAAAAATATGAAGATACACAGATCTCAACTAGTTTGAACTTTCGGGTTTATATTGATGCACTGATGTTTCTGAATCATTCAAGCAATAATGACTAACGTGATTAGTAATGCTAGTGCGATCACTGGGAGAGCTGCCAACAGGGTTGGATTAAGCCCGATGGGGCCCAAGGCTATTACACAATACAAAATTACATTTACTCAGCGCTTTTCACGCCAGGAGGATGTCTCAAGACGCTGGACAGTCAGGGATTTGGACCCAAGTGGGGGTGGTGGGGGGGCGGTGGGATCAGGGAGGGTGGCTGAAGGCACGGTCGAAAAGAGTCTGGTCTTGAGACGTGCCTTGAAGGAGGCGAAGGAGTGGGACGAAGGGACTGTGGGGGCAGAGAGGCCGACCGCTGGTGGTGGGGCAGGTTGGTCCAGGGACGTACAAATATTATAGTCTTGGGGGCCCCTCTTTGCATGTTCAATTCCATCTCTTTAGTGTTTGACCACCCCCGGGCCCGCGACGATCCCAAACACTATTGTTAATTTACTTTAGTTGTTTCAGATCTGTGTGCTTTTTTAAAATGTGGTATAACAATTGTAAAGTTGAATCAAAGTCAAAACAAACAAAACAATATTCATTTCACCCCAAAATCTGGTTGTCCTAATACAATTGGTGATGTCCAAGGTAAAATCAACGAAGGGGCTTACATTAGAACAGTTGTTAAATCAGTTTCGTCCTAATTTTTAAAGCCCGAGAAACCTTCAATGACTTCATTGAAATCAAAGCAAATCACACTCGATTTTAACAATAATTTCAAAATAGTCACTCTTGGTTGATCCATAGTTGACCTGAATGGATGATTGATTAGCGCCAGGTTTGAAATGAACATTTGCCTCTAGTGTCAGTTACCGGCAGTGTCAAAAACATTCGTAAAGTGACATCTACATCGGCAAATACAAACTGCAAACTCTTTTGTCGTAAAAGCACAATATCGTCCGCAAACAGAAGAGCCACAATCTTGTCAGAAAGACCCGGATGGTGATGCCATCCAACAGGTCATTGATGAATACATCAAATAGGGTGGGTGACAATGGGCAACCTTCCCGATCAAACAATGAGCCTCCGAAGAGTGTGATACAGGTTCAGTGGCTATCCGAAGCACAACTTTAAGAGCTACTGTAATTAGTGAGATTCCTCTTGGTCTCACTAGGGTCACGTGCTGATGGATAAGAACCACAATTGCACTCTGGAACGTTGACGGAGTGCGTGCCTCACAGAGAATCCTGTTGACCGAGGACAGGAAGGAAGCTCCAAGGCAAGTTGGAAGTTTTGGCTGATATCTGTGAGATCCACACTGTTTTCCATCCCCTCTCTCTGAGCAGCTTTTAGAAACTCAGCAATATTGCCGTCGCACCTGCTGCCTTGCCATCGCAGTGGGCTGTCCACCTCCTCCCAGCGGAGTGAGTCACTAAGGCTTTCAATCTGTCCCATGCCTCCCGCCAGCTCTTCCATCCTCCATGCAGATGGATCTCTGTTGGGTCAGAAGCGAACTCCGCATAAGGCTCCCTCCAGGGTTTCCCTCATTATTGTAGAACTTGTAGAAATTGCTTGAAGGTTAAGCTTGAAGGCTTTGCTGAGGAAGGGCAGGAGGAGGCTCACATGGAGCATAAACACCGGCATAGACCAGTTGGGCCGAACGGCCTGTTTCTGTGCTGTATATTCTAATGTAACTCTGGACTTGACCAAACACCGGTACAAACCCAGAGGCCCCCTCCAGCCATGACCGACCACAGACTTCAACCAGCGCAAGAAAGATTTTGAGGTTGTTCTTGTGTGGTTGCGCTCTTTTGTGCAGCGAAGCAACCCATTGAGGCGGCTTCATTTCAGGGCGGTGAGCACTTTAAAAGACTGCCTGCAGTCCCCCTCCACCCAAAAAAAATCCTCACCAGCTCCAAACTCCGGTGCTCGCCAGGCTCCACTGTCTCCCTGTCTCATAACAGATTGATTTCAAGGTTCTCACCCTCACCTAATATTCCTTCACATCCTTGCACTGCTCTCTCTCTCTCTCTCTCTCTCTCTGATGTCTCCCTAACCCACTTCCTCTGCTCAACCCTCTTGACTCGGTCAACTCTCTCTGCACAGAATGATGCCGAGCTTTCGGTGAAGTTGAAACATGAACCGCAGGCTTTAATGTTCAGTACAACTTCAAGCACCGATTCGCAGCTTAGTTTATTTTCAAAGAATGATCCAACACAAAATGTCAGCGAGTGCAACGTGACTGTTTGTGTGTACAGTGGCTGTATCTAATCACACTCAATCATGTCCTGTCCTATCTCTAGTGACTATAAAACATCCTCTCTTTTTAACAATTTATTTCCTTTATGAAGATGGCATTTTTTTGGTCGCATACCTAGGCAATCAGATTACAGTAGGAAAAAGACACTACATTATTTTTGCTAAATATTCTCTTTTGCTGAAAGCACAATGCAATGTCCAGTTTCACAGACTCCAACATCTCTGCTCTATGCCTTAATGACAATCTTTCCTGTGTGAGCCTGGACTTGGTGTATCAATAAATATAAATTTGATTAACCGGTGATATTGCACTGAATCATTCCAGGCATCACAGATTTAAAAACATAATAACTAACTCAATCCACGACTGCTGTGCGCAATTGGCTGCCGCGTTTCCCCCACAAAACATATAGTCAATTCACCTTACAGTATATTCTGTGAAGTGCTTCGAAACGTCTGAAAGACGTAATAAGGCGCTATATGAAATGCGAGGATTATTATTATTATTATTATAAAAACAAAGCAAAAGCCTGATGACTTATGAAACTACACGGATCTATTTTAATAGACATACAATTTTTATTTCTTAAAACCTTTTTTAAAAAAAAACTTCCACTTCTTTCCCGGGCTGCCCAATTCCCTGCCCTCGCCTTTCTCAAAATACCTAGCAGGCACTTTGCAGTGGGCAATGAGTGACACAGTGACTCATCTGTGGAGGCGTTGTGAAAGGACTGCTTCCCGAGGGAAGCATGTTAATAAAAAATGTTTTATTTCAGCTCAGCACTGAAGCTGGGAGGGGATGAACTCACCATCCTCCACTCCATCTTTCTGGGTCACTTCCTAAAATAAGCAGCAGAATAGGTAAAGCTATTCGAGACCTAAAACAAAAAAAAAACAGTCAAGACAACTGGATGCCTCAATTGTTTTTTAAGCAAGCAATCAGGAACACACTGGAATAAGACTCACGGACTATGATTTGGGTGACTTTTCTATTAATTATCCGTTTAAAATACAGATTAGGGGGAGGGCGCAAGGAAATGCTCTCTCCTTCTCCCCAGCAGGCAGATTTGTTCAGTTATTATCTCTCTCTCTCTCTCTCTCTCTCTCTAAGGCCGCTGGCATTTTCGTAAGTAAATTCTGAATCATCTGCTGAACTGCTGCGAGTGAGTAAAGTGAAACGGTGCAGCGCGAGCCAAAACTTACTTGGATCTTCTGAAAGACAGTCGTTTTCTGAGAGAAGAGACACGGAAGTGACAGCCCTGCTTTACAGCTGACGTGCAAGAAGTTGGCTCCGACTTTTCACTCTCTGTTTGAACCATCATCAATCAACACTAACCTCCAAGCTGCTGAAACGAACCCGGCAGGCTTTAAAAGGCATATTTCCTATGTAGCTATAAACGGGACGGAACGCAATGAGAAGACCATCAGATGTCCCTCGCACCTTCGGCATGGTGTCCCATCACATCCATCGGCACAGCTGCGTCGGTTTGCAAGCAGCACAGGTGTTTTTTTTTTTTCCGGGTACCCGGACTCAGGTTGCAGTTTGCAGGACGCCAGCATCCATTACTAACTGCCGGACCAGCAGGAATATACTCTTTCAATCATCCCAGTCATACCTGACCTCAGAACTAAATTAAAACGTTCCTGCTCCAATTATTCTACAATGCAACGCTGATGAGCTAGATAAGGACAGGCAGGAAGCCATTTCGTCCTGCAGAATTAAAGCTAAGGTGAGTCTTGAGTGCAGTTTCCTGCTGGGCCCATTGTGCGGGAGCTGTTTTTTTGTTCTATTAACAGCAAGCAGCCTGCAATGCTCTTTCAGAGGCTAAGCCAACTGTCACGTGCTTTGTGTAGTTAGCTCAAAGAATCAGAGGTTCCTCTTAACGATTTACTGCTGTTTCCATTCATTAAAGCGAGGCAATTTTTTTCTTCAACAAGAATTTAAAAATAAAACCACTGGAGGCCAATCCCTTGGGAAAGCATTCATTGCGGCTCTGATTCATGAACTTTGAACACACAAATTATCCAAAGATTATCCAAAGACCTTGGACTGTTTTGAACACAGACACAAAACAAATTGATTGTTGTTGTGTGTTGGGTGGTGGTGGTGGTGGGGAGGGGGGGAAAAGAGAAAGGAAGAGGTAGGAGAAGAAAATTCTTTTAATTTCATAATGGGAATCATCCAGTCTTTCCAAATAGAAGCTGAAATGTCTCTTTTGAAAGAGAAAGAGAGAAGGTGGAGAGAGATAAACAGGCCGAGAAAGAGCGTAGAGGGCACAGAGAGGTAGGTAGGGAGGGAGAGAGAGGGCAATATGAGAGACGGAGGGCAATGAGAAGGGCACAGATAGAGGGGGAGGTGGGGGGGCACAAAGAGAGGGAGAGAGAGGGGACGGACAATGAGAGGGAAAAGGTGGTGAGGGAGAAACAGAGGGAGATGAGAGAGAGGGAGATGAGAGAGAGGGAGCGAGGGTGATGAGAGAGAGAAAGAGGGCAGCACAGAGAGAGGGGGGAACAGCACGGGGGTGCTGGGGGGCGGGGGGGTGCGGGGGGGGGAGAAGGGAGACAGAGGGGAAGCACGCTGAGATGTCTCGATGACGCGATAGAGGCACAATATCAAATGCAAAGATTATTGCTGCAACTTCTGGAATGAAATAAGTTTATACGGTTCCATTGCTCAGTGTTAGCACCGTGTGAGGAACTGAGCAGTCTGCCGAAGCTTGCAATGGTTTTACAGCACCACCATCTTGTGGCCCAATAGGGTAATCTGTGTTACCCAACCACAAAGTTCAGGCACACTATAAGCAAATTATAATTTATGACAGTACCGTACCATTTTATAAGTGGGTGTCAAACTGGACCTATAACAAATACTGCAGCTCTCTACCCCTCCATCTCACCCCTGTCTAGTAATAATAATAATAATAATAATAAATTCTTGCCTTAAATCCCACCTAAACGTCCAGCGCCTCGGGACGTCCTCCCGACGTGAAAGGCGCCATACAAATGTAATCTTCTTGTTGTTGTTGTACTTCTTTAACTGTGTCTTTCCCCTTCTCCTCCGTTCGTCATCAGAGATCATCCCTACCAAGTAGTGAGCATAGTGTTCCAGGAAATTCTTAAAGTACCCTCTGCATTTCCATTCTTACCCTGTTATTCCGACAAGCTTTTCTACATTGCTTAAGAGTCATTTCTATCTCAATTTCCCTACCCACAATCTGGAGTCTATCACGGCTGCCTTACACAGGTTATAATTTCCTCACTTTTATGGAGGAAAAAAAGAGTTGTATTCGCTTCTCCGATATCCCTCCTCATCACTGTGAGAGTCTTTTAACAAACAGCCGCTTATCCCTCCCCAACTCTCTCTCCCCCCCCCACCACCCCCATCGCTCCTAAAGATTCTAAATCTATTTAGTTTGCCTTCTCCCAGCTGTAGCCAGGTTTCCGTGAGGGCAATTTCTCTTCCACACCTCCGGAGTAATCAATGCTTGAAGATGTCCCATTTTACTTTTATCCTTTCGCCCATCAGTAAATATATCAAACAAGTCCAGCTTTTCTGCTCTACCCCCAACTCTAAGTTGACTCTACGCAATGTCCTTAAACGGACCTTCATTTCCTCAAACCACCGAATCCGTTTCAGTTCTGAATCCCGCAACATTGAATAAACGCGGCGCGTTTTTTAGTGTTCGATTTTCGACTAATCGTAGAAAAGGAGTTACATATAATTCATAATATTATCAATTTGAAAATACTGCAGGTTTCAACGAGGGAAGCGAGCAAAGTCATAAAACCACACGTGATTTTCCCACATGATTGTCTCCAGCGAGTCACAATAAATACTAAATCTGGTAACATTCACAAAACACTCTCGTAGAGAGGATTATTTTTATTTCAGTCCCATATTATCCATCTCTGGATCTTAGCAAGATGATGATCTGGTATTTGACACAGGTTTCATGAGGCGGCTGCAAAATCTTTGGGAATCACAACAGCAACACATTTATATAGTGCCCTTCAAACCGGACGGTTTCTCGGCAATATCACCTTTTCTTTTCTATTTTTTTCAAAAATAAACAAACGCACAAACAGAAGAGACACTTTGCCATATTGTCTGCTGTACAGATTTACGTAACATTGATGTACCATCACTCCTCAGATCGCAGAGCTATTTTCCATTTTTTTTCTACACCAACATTCCTCAACTCACCTGAACAACAGAATATAACCGGAGTGTTTGGGGATATTAGAAACCGTTAGAGGATCAGTACGTACCTTTCCTCTCGTACGTTCGGAGTCAGGAATCGTGAAGAGTCATCTTCGTGAACGCTTTGTGGGCTATTCTGTTGACTACTGAAGATTTAAAAAAAAATCATTAGTAGATCTATGAAGCTAAAGGAATAGCTTAAAAATAATTTTTAATTTAATTAAAATTTACTAGTTCTGCACTTCCATCTCCTCCAATCCCCTTTTTACCATCATTACTCTCAATACGCACAAATACTCGCTTAACATGGAGAAATCACATACAATGCAATTGACATCAGCGCAGTGCCTTTCACACTGACTGGGAGGATGTCTCAAAAGAGCCTTGAAAAACGAAGGGAGGGAATGTGTCAGAGGGAGACTCGGAATGTCTAAAAGCCCATCAGTCGAAGGTGGGATGGATAGAGCGAGGGATATGAAGCAGTCCAGTGTCTGCTGAGCGAAGAGAGTGACCAGTAAGCGAGTCCATGGAGGAATTGCAAGGCGAGAGCGAGGATCTTGAACCGCCGGGGGTGGGGAGCCAGCGCAGTGCGGCTGAGCGAGGACGGGATGATAGGCTCGCAGAGCTTGGTGCGAGAAGGGGCAACAGGCTGCAGAGTTCTGGACAATAATAATCATCATCTTTGACACAGCATTTGTTGAGACATCTCAAAGCGCTTCACAGAATATATATCGTCACTGGTGTATTTTGTGGATGAAACGCGGCAGCCAATTGCGCACAGAGGTGTCCCACAAACAGTCGTGGACTGAAGTGACCGCATTTCAGTCACAAGTGCAGTTATTACACTTTACAGTATGTCACGCGGTGCACTTGGAGACATCCTTCCAGGTGAAAGGCATTGAGTGAAATGGAAGGACATTTATTATTGTTCCTGATTAAATCAAATCAGAAGGGCTGGTAAACTAACTGGCAATGCAGAAGAATACAGGAGGTCAGAGACAAGTTAACAAAGCGGGTAAATTGGTGGATCCTGGAATTCAATGCAAAGGAATATGCCGTATTGAGTTTTGGGAGGACAATGAATGTACACAAACCCTACTTGGTATATAAGTGACGAGGCCCCAGCAATTTAAATATACAGGTCTTAAAAAAGAGATCTGATTACTCGCATTCACAAATCACATTTTAGGCTCCAAAATCTATTAGAAATAGAACAGCACCACGTTCAAATTTACAAATAATACAATGCCTCCGTATACGCATTCAGATTTCGACATTTAAAATTGAAGAATGTCAGTATATCATCATTTAGCGAAAGTAAATTTCATGACTTGTAAGAATAAACCTCCCACGTGAATTACTCAACTAAATTGTCCTTTCCACATTATAACTTATAACACATTTTAGAGCGATGATCTTCTTCCAAACCACTGTTATTTTCTTTGAAGGGTAACTTCATGGAACAAAACGCAAATCACATCATCACATCTTCAAACCCTTCTCAACAACAATAATAATCCTTGCATTTGGTATAACGTCTTATCACGTCAGAACAACATCTCAAAGTGTTGACTGTGAAATGGAGTGTCTGTGTATTCGCAAGCAATCGGACAGTATGATAATAATAATAATAATCCTTGCATTAGATACAGCGCTTTTCATGTCTTCTCGACGTCTCAAAGCCCTTCACAGAATAGACAGTAAAGTGAATTGACCGTATATTTGTGGGCGAAACGCGGCAGCCAATTGCGCACAGCAGCGTCCCACAGCCAGTCGTGGATTGAAAATGACCAATTTATTATGATTGCCTTTTGGTTTTGGAGGGATTATTACTGGAGGGATAACACGCAGCAGTGTTCCCACAAACAGCCATGAAACGAACGACCAATTTTATTTGGGGGATTTGTGGACCAGGACCACCGGGAGAAACTCCCTTCTCTTTTCAAATGCTCCCATGCGATCTTTAAGACAGGCAGACAGGACTTTGATTTAACGTCCAAGCCAAAGGATCGCTCAAAAACAATTTGAGCGAAGCTACCACATCCTGCAAGAGAGTAACCAGGTTGCACGGTTTGAAGGCTCTTCGAAGAGATGAAACAAATCATGAGATAAGTGCAACACCTTTCCAGATTCCAAGGTCCCGCTCGCAATTCAGAAACAAACGTATATAAAACAAGATTTGTATGAAAATACATTTCTGCTCGTTACCTTGTACTAGAAGGCATTTCTAAACGAGGCCAAAACACACAGTGACGTGCGATCCTCTCCGAATACAAATTCATACGTCCAAAGACAAAATACGAAAAGCAGTGATAGATTGTGTTGAAATAACTATTCACAATGTCGTTCGTTACCTGGACTTAGAAACACCAAACATGGCTTAATCAAGCTGCCTATTCTGTAGCAGTTTCCAGCACAATCAGCCGGTGCTATAATAGATGACAGCATAACTGGAGCAGGTTAGGCATTAAACCCATAAGCTGCGTACTCATTAACTCAAGTCCAATAGTTACAATACCTCACTAGAATTTATGTTAACCACGTGGGCCTTAAAATTCTAGCACAATTGGCCTCGGTTATACCACCAGCCGTATACTTAGCTGGATATGCTCATAGACTGCAGAGGGGGAAGAGAGAAATGAGGATGTAAAAAGAGGATTTTTTTCGTTTGTTTTTCAAACGCTTTGTCATATTACTCTGCTCTCCGCTCTCCCTCCCAACTCCCCCACTGAGCCCTGAAGGTGACGACTTATTTATTGCAGCTTCTCCATGCTCTGCAATTAGCAACTCATCCCCAGCCTGCCCTTGCCTCTATAACATAGTGGAACAAAATCGTCATAATAATAATAATAATAATCCTTGCGTTTGCTATAGCTCCTTATCACGTCTTCCAGATACGTCTCAAAGCGCTTCACAGAATATGCTGTAAAGTGAATTGACCGTATATTGTGGGCGAAATATATATATTTGTCATCTGCCAGGTTCACTCCCTCCTCTCACAACATTGCCTCAATCCAGTGTTGACGCTTCCCTTGGTTAAAGTTACCAACAAAGTTCTTTCAATCAACCTACCAGTGCTCCCGTTGCCTCCTCCTAACACGACCGTTAAAGTGGTTCAGACGAAGATCTTTCAGCTCAGTTGATCTCTTCATTCCAGAATACCATCCTATTATCTTTCCATTCATTTTCTTCATTTTGGGTCTTCCAATGTGACGTTATCCATAGACATAGGTTCCACATCCACACGTGGATATGTACATAGTGACACAAAACTCTCTCTCCCCCCCACCACCCTCAACCCTCTCTCTCTCTCACACACACACACACACACATTCTGTCTCTCTCGAGCGCTCTCTCTCACACACATTCTCTCGATCTCTTTTCTACTGAGTTTTATATACTATGGAGAAGATAGCTGAGGCACGACTGTATATACACACATACACACACAGCTCTCTTCTCCCTGATTGTTTGTCTAATTTACCTAGTCCCTTATTTCTCTGTATCCTTGTTGGATGAGACATTAAACCAAGGACCCATCTGCCTGTTGAAGTGGATGTTAAAGATCGGGCAGCGCTATTCAAAAAGAGGAGCGAGTTTCTCTCTCCTGGTGTCCTGCCCAACAAACTCCCAAATAGAGTTTGGTCATTCGTTTTATGGTTGTTTGTGGGCGAGTGCTACCCACAACTGGCTGCTGTGTTTCGCCACAAAATACACAGCAAATCCCGTTTACGGTTTATCCTAAGAAGCATTTTTTAGACGTCTCAACGAAGTGATGCTCCATCAAATTCAAAGATTATTATAATAATTATTATTGTTATTATTATCTTAGCTGCTGCCATTTCATTCCCTGCACCATCCATTATCCCTTTATTTCTTTTGTTAGTCTTCTTTGAGAAAATTGAGGCTAAGTATTTGCTCAGTATTTCAGCTATTACTTTATTATCTCTACGAGATTACCCTGTGCACCCGTTTGAGCTCCTATCCCTATCTTTGCGGTTCTATTACTAATATATTACTTATTACTTGTTACTAATTTAAATGGCAAATGCATTTCAATGTAGAACAGTGTGAAGCAGCGTGTTTTGGTAGAAGGAATAAGGAAGTCACACACATCCTGGAAAATAAAAACCGAAATGGGGTAGAGGAGCAAAGGGACCAAGGGGTACACATGCACAATTCACTAAAAGTGGCATCGCAGGTTAATAAGCCATAAAAAAAAGGCAAACCAGGCATTAGGGAAAGGCTGGAAAGGAAAGGCTGAACGTGTTTGGACTCTTCTCTTGAAAAGAGGAGGGTAAGGGGTGACCTGATTGAGGTCTTTAAAATGATGAAAGGTTTTGATAGGGTCGACATAGGGAAGATGTTTCCACTGGTGGGGTAGACCGAAACCAGGGGCCATCAATATAAAATAGTCACAAATAGATCAAATAGGGAAGTTAGAAGAAATTTCTTCTCACAGAGAGCAGTGGGAATGTGGAACATGCTGCCACAGGGAGTTGTTGAGTCAAATAGCATGGATGTATTTAAGGGGAAGCTCGAGAGGTACATGAGGGAGAAAGGAATAGAAGGTTATGCTTGAAGGCTTAGTTGAGGAAGGGCAGGAGAAAGCTCATGTGGAGCGTAAACACCGGCATAGACCAGTCGGGCCGAATGGTGTATTTCTGTGCTGTATATTCTGATGTATTCTATATCTATAGAACACCTTACTATCAACTTTTATGGTTCTTGATATTTTATTCTCATGCTATTCCAACAGCCGTTTTAATCTCTTTCCTAAGACTGTCGTGTTCACTCTTGTTTTCTTCTCTGTTATGTATTTTTACTTTGGTAGGTATGTACTTCACCTGTACCTTACCCAAGTCAATTTGAAATATTTCCCGCTGCTGATCTACCATCTTGATACCTACCTAGCCTCCCTCTTCTCTTGGACCTTCAGCCATTTTTTCAACAAAAAGCTTTTACTGCTTAGGGACGCGCTTGGCGTTGAGCACCTTGACCAAGGAGTGTCCTCGTCACTTGATGGGGTGACTTCAATGGACGGAGGCCGCAGGAATTCTTTCGCTGTGGAGTCCTGAACAAAGCTCTTGGCCAGCAGGTCATTCTCACTCCGAACCTTCTTCCAGCGTCTCATTTTGAAACGTTTCCTGCGATGTGTTGGCGTAGAGGATACCGAGTAGGCCCCGGTGCCAGAGGCGATGGGTGGAGCAGGAAGCTGCAGCATATCTGTCATCTCTTTAGGTTGCCCCCCTTACAGGGCAAGAAACGCCCAGCGATTACTAACCAGCGCTAGTTTCCATATATTGTAGCTGCTCAGCAAAAATCACACAACGGGAAAACAAAACACTGTCACAGCAGAGCGTCACAAATCATCAAGCTAGATTGCGGATGTACGTCAAGCTCCTGGAGAATGTGTGAGGATTTGTATGAGGATTCTCTCTATCCGCAGTCCAAGAATTTTGAAGCTTGGTCTTTCCCAGCTGTTCTCGCGCTGTTGGAAATATGAACACAGCAACTTCTCAGTGTCTTTTAGTTTCCAAAGGAGGTAAATGGTCAGCAGCATGCAGTGAGCGAGCAGGCTGGAGAGCTTGGTTTTATTTAAAGAAAACTTCAAACTGTACGCTAAACAAAAAGTTAAGAACCTACTAAATACCCACCCAAAACACTCTCGCTCTCACACAGCTAGAGTGACCCTGCCTATCTGACGGCAGCAATCTGACAGGTGAGGAGACACCCTGCCAATAGGAGAGCTGCAGCGCGGACTGGCTATGTGGAAAATCTGGGAAATTTCCTGATTATCCTCTTGAATGGTCCCCGTGAATGATTAACCCCCGGTTCGGAAGTTCTACTGTATCTGAGCCTCAACGTTTTTAAACACTCGGAGATTGAATGCCAATCGGGAACCCTCCCCCTGCAAATCGCCACTCCCACCTTACCCCCCCCCCCACCCCCGCCCGCCCGCCTGTTTTACCTGACAATCCTGAGCCCTTTCGGGGAGCCAGTCCATCACTGGCTGTGACATTGGGGGTTAACGTGGAAGATAAAAGGCAAATCGCGATTGTAGGACGTGCGATATGGTGACGTGTTGGTTGCAATCCATGTTCGATAGGAGCACGGTTGCATGACCAGCAGGGCGGAAACTTTCAACCTCTCTAGAGTTGGGGTGTCAAGACAAACGGTGGGGTGTTATTTGGCAGCCCGTCTATTTTAGTTTCTCAGATCGCACTGCAAAAAAAACTGCAACTCGTTCGCGTTGCTCTGCAGAGTGCTCACCTCCAATTAGCCGGTGGACCTGTTGTCCAGCCACATCGCCTGGTCTTTCTTAAAGGTGTGCGACCCTGTAGCTGAGTTTTACACAGCCCCCTCAAAGAATATTTTCACCTGCTTACCTATGCAACGATCTGACTTGTGCAGTAGGTATGAATGATTGCTGCTGACTGAGCCCAAAACACATGCTGGCTTGATTTTGCAGTACTGTTGATTCATTATTTTTAAATTAAGGAACCTGTCTGGTGACTCCTTCCAGTAACTGGATGTACGTTCTGGTTGTAGAGCCTTGTGACTTGGGGGGAATCTCACTTCGAAAATAGAGCGAGTTGGAATGGGCTTCTTGTGAGTTGCCGTCACGGGCTACTGGCTTTCTTATTTTTTTCTAATTTGGTAATTCGATAAAAGTACGTGACTGTCAGTACCCCTCTTAATACTTTCAAGCTAATCACTGTTTAGCATCTGTAAGAAACTCACTTCCCAGTAACAACATGGCAGCAAAAGTGAAACTAGTAATTTTGTGTGTGTGTGGGGGGGGGTTGTGAGTGAGGGGTGTGGGGCGGAGGCGAGAGAAAGCACTTACACCACACCATGGCACATGAGTCAAGTCTATTAGGCTATTAAAATTGACATTTTAGAACAGATCGCAGGAGGCATTGTAAGACCTTTTGAACAAGTACCAAATCAAGGATCAAAGTGGGTTGTCATGACCGCAGTATATATATATGGGGTAAGATGCAAATGTCATAGGAATGCAAATTCTTTTTTTTTTTTAAATCAGACTGACTGACGCCTTTATCTACAATACAAAGTACAGCAATACCAAGTCCTTTCTAAATGGATCACTTGCGGCAAAACCAAAAGTTCTACGTGCTCAAGGATAAATAGTTCTCTATGAATCATACATTTTACAATCCACGTTCTTGAGAACCTATCGCTGAGGGAAGAGTCGAGCGCCACTATTAGATGCCACTATGAGCACTACTCTGCAGTCAGGAAATATACATCAACTGCCCAAAGAGATGATTTATCTCAGAACCGCTGTTTTGAGAGAGGCCTGACCTGAACTTAAGACCTCGCATTAACAGACGTCCGTTAGCCAGGCACAGTTGGTAGAGCTCTTTCCTGCCTCCGAGTGAGAAAGTTGGAGGATTCAAGCCCCATGTCGGGAATTTGGAAACAAACATTGCTGGGGAATCCACAAGCACTGCTGGGGAATCCACTGCCTTGTTAGGCGTGTCGTCGCAAGGAGGAGACTTTAAACAGAGGTCCTGTCTGCCTGTTCAGGTGGACGTGAAAGTACAATCCGAAGAGAGACGCGAGTCTTCTCAACAACAGATTGCATTTGTGTAGCGCCTGATGAACATCTGGGACGTTCTTTCTCATCACGTGCCTGAGCAGAACGCAAGGTTTTCTTAGAACTAATAAATGCTCCATTAAACGGGAAACATTTTCTAAATAATGCAGGTGAACACCGGCATATGGAAAGACATCCAATCATCGCAGGTTTAAAAATATCCAGACATTCATCTGTGACATAAATTCTGCTTAGTACAGCATTTATTTACATAACAAAATAGCAGGTTGCAGTTGTATTTCTGCGTATCCATTTGGAGACGACACAAGTGGTTGCTGCGAAATAATCTCACCATTACACTAATGGTCAGGATGCACATCATTTGATGTTATTTGATTCCTCAGGAAAACCTCTGTGAATTTGCTGGTTAAAAGCAAATATTTCCATTGTATCTTTAATTTAATCTTTAATTGCGTTGCTGGCTGTTGGGATTTTCCTGGCACATCTGCACACACCGTCATTGTACGTCAAAGTAATTCACCACATAAAACACATATGACCGAAAAAGGAAATCAGAAGCTGAGCCTCCAAAAGTGGTTTGGTAGTGCATCTGTCTCAGGCTCAGAAGTTTTGTGGCATATTGTTTGTGCAAATCATGTTCACCTATGAATACACACTCACTACACTTTACAATTCCATCTGAAGCTCTTCGAGACATTTTAATGTTCCAGTTCCTACAACAAGTGCCTCACCAACGATACTGCTGCGACCTAACTCACTGAGACCATCCAATAGGAGATTGTGAACTAGAAGCGTGGATAGACTTCCAAATGCTCGAGCTCTAGAAAAACGTGGTCAGCTGTGACCAGTCATATCAGCCTCCATTTGCCTAACGCTTTGCGATGCCTGTGAATCGAAACCAGGTCTCTCGCTCGCGAGGCGAGTGCTCTAACCACTAAGGTGCAGAATGTCACAGTGCCCTACATTGGCACTTGGAATTCATATAGTCAATATAGTCTCTACTGACAATCCAATGCAGTCTGGGGGTATACTGCCTTCTCCTTCTCCGACGTCCCATTTACCCTGTTCAAGTAAACCTTAAGGTTTAAGGATTTCTCCTGATGTCTTGATCAAATAAAATTTCAGAGCTGCCTGTGGGACGCTGATACATGCAAACTGGCTGCTACGTTTGCCTACAAAACAGTCACTCCAACTTTACTCTGTATCCTGTGAAATGCTTTGAGGTATCCTCCTGTGGTGAAAGGCATGACATCAAGTGCAAGGATAATTTATTGATCTGCTCACCGTACAAAGAGCTGCATGGCTCAGGTCAGAATGCAGAGGGTGGAGTTTTCACAGTGGATCAGGCCTCGAGTGCCTTACTGCCCCGGCTAAATAACACTCTCTCGAATGGAAACTAGGCGTTCACAAGTCATTGCTTGCTTGCTGTTTGTCAGCACACGCTTGAATTAAAACCGTGTTGCTGCTGAACCCACTATCCCTCAGCTGCAGAGCTACTTCAAAGCAAACTTTTATTTCATTTAAATCCTGTTTCATAACAAAACTAAGGGGCCTCAAAAGAAAACCACAACAATATTATTATTGTAGAACTACATTATACAGTACATTATATCATAGATTAATGACTGTGCTATATTATAATGTGTGAATATATATAAATATATATATATGACTCCACTACTAAGGCATTACACATCTTGACATTAAGGAGGATATTATTTAACTTGGAAAGCCTGGTTTAGTACATGAGATCCTTATAAAATATTCAGCGAAATCAGATTTTTTTAAAAAAAATGAGGATATTTCTCAGTGGTGTTGCATTGCGTCTACTCCTCCGTGTGCATACACCACAGGATTGTGACAGAACGGTCTTGCAAGTCTTTTCAAATTGAGTTACAGCTGAACGGTTAAGGATCAGGGTGATTAGGCAACACCAAGATTCACTTTTGAAAGCTTACGGATTCTCCTGGCAAGGAAAAAAGACTGAAAAAAACATAGGAAATGATCATCAGTTCTAAGGGGAAAACTCTAGATTTTTAATAGATGTCAATTTCAAACTTACTGCATCGCTTAAAGCTCACACTTGAACCACGGCAAATCCAACTACTTTAGAAACAAATAACTTTCTTTCTTTTAAAAAAAAGCACAAGTAATGCATTACACAAAACAATTGGCACCTGTTGCATTTGTGGTTAAACACCACTTTTGTCTGGAATCAATTTATAGTCACTGTTAGTGCTACACCGGCTATTTTAAGCCCTGCACTGAAGTGCTTTTGCTCTCAAGCATACAACACATGATAGGTTCTGACAACAGAAAATACTCGGCCCTCTTAAGTGCTGCGGTGAATAATTTAAATCCAAGAAACTAAATAGCCAGAAACCACGAATATGTTTAACTGAATACAGTAACCTACTTCATGTTTGGGTACTGACACGTTACTTCTAAGAACTCTGCACTTCCCCATGTTATTTCCATGCACCACCGTTTGCTGCAACAGATCATCCTATTTTATGTTCCTGCAGTATTTAATTCCCAGCACTGCAGACGCTGTGACAAATTAATCAAACTTCCCGACGCCTGTCCAGCTAGGATCACTCTCCCCAATAGGGCTTTGGCTCTTAAGAGTTAACAGAAGCTGAGTAGGAATAAGTCTTGGTTTCAGTGACTGGTCTGTCTCCCCAAGATGATCTGCCATTAACACTTTCACCTCTGAGACATAGTGTTATGAATTCAAGTGTCACTTTCGGACTTGGAGCTCCCAGCGTAGGTTCAACT